TTACTTGTTAATCGCATTTATTTTCGCATATCATCATTCGCACCTCACTCGAGCTCAATCATGGCTTTTTCCGTAGCCATGAGTGAGTAGTCTACTCATCGAGTATCGGGGTAGTAGATGTAGAAGTTTTAGAGCTTGGCTAACTTAGTTTCGGCCTAAACCTTACGTTTCTCGAGCTTAGGTTGAGATTAATGCTCAGTTCTCGGTTACGGCCTTGAGCTCTGTCTTGAGGTATTTCGCTGCCCGAAAGGTGTTTGATGGAATGCCTGACTGACCTTTTGCTCGGCTTAGCGACCTCTGGCCATGAAAGTGTTGTTAGAGGAGCTAGGTGAGCTTATTGGGACTTGATCTTAATGTTTGAAGAGTACTTATATCTAGCAGCGAAAGTTAGTTAGATGTTTGTACTCAACAAAGTGGTTAGTAGCATCACGAAAGTGGGATGATCATTATCCGTGTCCCATGCTTAAGAGTGAGCTTAATACTAAAGGCCCTGACTTTGTTAGCTGAGATCTATTGATCTACATCAGTTGTTATCCCGATACTTGGTGCTTCCCATCATCATTGCATTTGATTTCAAATCTCTGTTTTGCGTATCTCTAGTTTATTTACATTTCTGCTTACTTTAGTTCATCCAAACCAAACCCTTGTTGATGCTTTAGCTTAATGAAAGTTCTTTATGATTTAGTAATTTGAGTCCTTGTCTTCCCTGTGTTCGAACCCTTTCACTTGCTGCAATTGAATCCCTGAGTCCTTGTCTTCCCTGAGTAGGTTGTTAGCTTTGTTAGGTTTTTATTTGATAAGTTAATTTTGCTTACAACTGGTAAAACAACTCTCATCAGAAATCAAGCAAAAGGTTCCTAACTCGAGGTGCCACCTGGCATGCCTAATCACAAGAAGACTTTTCTTCTTAGTTTGTTGATTATTCCTTTCAGTTTCTGTGCAGTACACGAACTCTCCACTGCTTCACTGATTCTTTTGCTTCAGCAGATTTTTCTGCACTAACAAATTCCCTCTCTTTGTATTGTGATAGTTTAAGTTAATGAAGATTGCACAAAGAAAAAAAAAAGAATGTTAAGCTTATAAACTGAAAATACGTTGATATTAGCTTTATTTGGTGTTTACGCTTACGCTAAAGTTACAATGTACAATTTTATCCAACGTGAGAGTCTGCCATGTCCCATTCCGGGTGGGATCTGAAGGCTTGTTCATACAACTGGTAAAACAACTCTCATCAGAATAGCTGTATTCTCAAGTTTATATTAAATGACTGGCTATATGTATATATGCAATGGGGAAAGGAGAAGAAGACTACTACCACACACAAAAAAATCAAATCCTCCATTATTGTAGCAACCATGAGTTCAGTGGGTGTATTTCGTAAGGTGGAAATTGATGAAGAATTATATTGGGTATACTCGTTAACCCAAACAACAGAAAACCCAACCTCCTCCGGTGAAGCCCTAGCCATGGATTCTGGTGGCGACGAGTTCCCTCTTCAACCTCTTTTTCTCTGTCCTACTGCACGTATCAACTTTCTGAAATCCAAACTAAAGAAGGACGACGACTATTACACTAATTATCATCCATTTCATTCTTCTCCACACTTCCCCAACACAAGAAGCGGTGATCAGGAAGGCGAATCTTTGCTTGATTGCAACGACGTTGGTATCTGTAAGCTCCCTCTAATCCCTCTCTTTTGGTGCAGCAATAAAAATTCTGATGACAATGAAGAATTTTTAAGTGTGGTGCATGCTCTCGGTCAATGCTCAGCACAATCTATTATGCATGTCTAGAATGTGAAAAATGGTTCCACAAAGAATGTGTAGAGTCTCCCATTGAGATCAAACACCCTTCCCACCCCTTCCATTCTCTTCGACTTTACTGTTACCCCACATATTTGGACATGTGTTTACCACTGTACTACTTGCAATCTCAATATGCTCTCGGTCAGTGCGATGAGCAGGGTCTCAATTGTTATAGACTGTCCGAAAAGCCATCCTCATCCTCTCACTTTTTTTCCTAGACAAGCTTCTTTAACTTGCAATATATGTGGCCTGATACAAAACAATAGTCCCACATACATCTGTACCCAATGTGTCTTTGTAGCCCACAAAAAATGTATCGGTTTCCCACATGTCATTAGAATATCTCGTCACCCACACCGTATCTCTTTTACCTATTCTCTTCCATCTGAAAAATTGTTTTGCGGAGTCTGCCGTCAACAGTTTTGGTGCATACTCTTGCAATCAATGTGATGCTTATTTTGTTCATTCAAAATGTGCATTACTCGACAATGTGTGGGATGGAAAAGAACTAGATGGAGTACCAGAGGAAGATGATATAATAGATGATGGTGAGCCATTCGAGAGGATAGCTACTGGAATAATACACCATCCTTCTCATAGCCACCATATGCGACTTGGGATCAGCACAGTATTTGACAAAAATAAGTTTTGTCAAGGGTGTGTCCTTCCAATATTCGAAGGTGAATTTTATTCATGTATGGAATGCGACTTGATCCTCCATGAATGTTGTGCACATGCTCCCCGCATGATACGAAGTCCCTTACATCCACACCCACTTACACTAAAAATTTCTACCGAGGGTCCTAATCATCTCAGAACTTCATTCGATTGTAAGGCATGTGAGCGTGAAAGTAGTGGATTCTTCTATGAGCATCATGCAGGAAAAAAGAGCTTCAAGTTAGACTTACAGTGTGCCTCGGTTACTGACCCATTGGAATATCAAGGCCACAAACATCCCTTACTCCTAGCTCCGAACCCAACGGATTTACGATGTCAAATGTGCCACTACGAACTCTTCGACTTCATGTTAAATTGCATGCAATGCGATTATATCATATGCTTCACTTGTGCTACCTTACCATATAAGGCAAAATATAAACATGACAACCATTTCCTAACAATTTGTGATGCGAAAGAAGAAGGTGATCAACCAGACTGGTGTGAGGTATGTGAAGGCAAAATAGAAGAAGTAAAAGGAACATGGTTCAGAAATAACAAAAAAAGGTACAAAAGCGGTTTTATAAATGCCATGACTGCTCCACAGCTCTTCATGTTGAATGTTTACTTGGGAAAGATGAAACCTGATCAAACTATAGAAGACCGCATTAATTACTTTTACCATGTACTCACGTAAAAGAAAAATTGAGGAAGACATGGAGTATCGGATTCTTCTCAACAGTTCTCTCTCCCGACCAATTTGCAAGGGATGCCTGCGTCGTTGTCCATTCCCAGTATTTTTCAAAGAGTATCAAGACAACAAAAATATTTTGTTCTGTGACTCGTATAACTTTTGACTAGACGATGCGGTGGCTGAGCTTCCAACGAGTTATCCTTTGTTTCTTTTCCTTTAATTTGAAGTACTTTCGAGATTTCGGCTATGTTATTTTTCTTAATTTCCAGTAGCTTTTAAATGGTTTGTGTTTGTCCTTGAATTTTACCCACAATCAAGCTGATTTACAAAAAGGATTAATCATCAGTTGGCTTTTTTTGTTTTATATATGTTACGTCCACCGTCACTTCGCTTTTAAAATAGAGTTTTAAATATACTCATTTTAGAGAAAAAACTGTGGACTGGTGGGAATATAGTTAAAGCTAATCTGAATTTTCATCGGAATATGTATGGTTTCTACTTTCAATTGTGAACAGAAACAACAAGAGGGAAACACAAACTTGACGTTTCGGTGTACAATTTTGGAGAATCGAGGCCGAAAATGCAACTTGATTATTGGTAAATATAAAACTTTTGCCGCAATTTACTAGTACAAGAAAACATTGAATTTGCCAGTGAATACTTCCCTCGAAATTTTGCTAACGAAATGCGACGAATAAGTCACCGCACAACACTCGTAGAAGAGCGATGGG